TGTTCTTCTGTGATTACACATTTGTATCCTTAAGAACCCATGTGAATAGCACATAGCAAGTCAATGCCTTCAGCTTCTATGTCATTTATCTTCTTTCTTCTAGACGGTGAGGTAGGTCAAAGGGTAGAAAGTTACTTTCAGTAAGGAACTTCTGCCGGAGACTTTAAATTTGTGTAAAGTGCAAATGGCCACTTAAGTTCGAGTTGAGTAAGTTACATACTAAAAAAGCTGGATAAGTATCTAGGAATGTATGTGATCATGAACAAATCAAAATAGTATTAGCTGCTGTTTCTAAACCCATTAAAACCATTACCTGTTGTTTCTAAACCCGAACCCGACCCGAACCCGCCCATACCCGATTAGATCCGAACCCGATAATACCCGAACCCCGAATTGTATACTTCGGGTTCTGTCTTCTTACCCCGAAACCCGATCGGGTTGTCCATTTTCGGGTCCGATCCGACCCGACCCGCCCGATGCACAACCCTACTTTAACCCAACACATGAGGACCCCTAACTGAAAGGATAATACATTTATGACAGAATTTGAAAAATATTACCAATCAAAAAGTTGAAGTTTGGTATATAGAGCAACATTTTCAAATTATATATATAAGTTTTAAAATTATGAATCTGATTTATGATTAACCAGTAAAATAGAAAATACTATCATGTCGATTGAAGTGCCATATATCATATTACTGATATTTTATATTTTAGTAATAATTTTTAAAGCTTAAACTGTATCCAATAAGAATCTAAGTATATAAAATATAGTTTAAAACGGATTTTTAAAAGAAAATATACACATTGAAACATTCCAAAGTTAAATGCCTTTATGGAGATTGTGAAAAGCAAAGCTTCAATACAAAGTATGAAAAAGTTGTACTTGCTTTATTGATCAAAGGTGTTGTGTTTTATATTGTATTTGATAATTATAAATATATTTTATTTTATATTATGATAATTGTTTTGTTTTAACAGTAAAAAAAATTATGGGTCTACTACAGTTCTTGATGGTTATTGCAACGACACCAACGTTCTTGATTTGGCAGTGAAGACGAGATATGCATGGTTTTGGTAACGTTTTAGGGAGGAGCTATTAAGAGTCGAGCTGGCTCAYGTGCACCAGTCACTCGTTTACTGTAAGAGAAATAAATTTAGGCGTCTAAAAGGTGCACGTGCTTGATTTTCAAGGGTGCTCTCAGATACATTTTG